GCCCCAGTACGTAGTTGTCTGTCATAGCTGCACATCCTTCTAGTTGCTGTATGTGGGACGCGGCCTCAGCATGGCTGGAGGAGTGGTGCCTCGGTGCGCACCCGGGATCCGAACCCGGGCCGCCGGCAGCGGAGCGCACGCACCCAACCGCTAAGCCACGGGGCCGGCCCCCACCCCTTCTATATAAAAAGATACAAACATATTTCATCTGAATTTACAAATTCAAGCAGCAAGATACTACTGAAGGTATGAGTCGCATGTTAAATGATGAGGTCTTTATTAATTTAGTAATAGTCAATATGCCACGATATACTTATTTTTGTGTTAAATAGCACTGTGGCTTAGCTCTGAGTATACTGCTATAGAGTAATTATTTATTCCTGTCAAATCTGGAAGTTTATAAGTTCATGAAATATTTCTCAAACAAAACAAAAACCAGCTTGTTCCTCCTCCTCCACCTCCCCCAAATTATAACAATCCTGAAGGCAGGGACAATACCTATCTTGTTCACTGCTGTATGTCTGGCATCTTAACAAAAAGTAAAAGCTAAAAATTTTTTCTTGAGTATGAATTCTTAATAAGCTTCTCTAAAGAACAGTAGGGCTTCCAATGCATATTTCCTAATTAGAATTTTAAATATAAAGATCACATAAATGATACATATTTATGTCAGTTACTGTACAGAAGCTAAACAAATCCACCCATAGAAACTCATTTCAAGTAGCCATGCTGTGGTGGCGGCTTACATAGAAGAACTAGTAGGAATCACAACTAAAATATACAACTATGTACTGGGGCTTTGGGGAGGGAAAAAAAAAAAGAAACTCATTTCAGAGAAGGAGGAACAATTCTGACATTTAAAAAATCACTTTGTAACTTTATAATAACTTAAAGTTTACACGGTGCAATCCAGCTGCTCTAGGTAAGCAATTCTATTTTACCTTTCCTGGGATGAAGCAACAGAGATTGGAATCCACATACTTCATGAAAGTCATATTTAATAGTGATAGCCTTGTTTCAACAGCAGCAAGGATGTCTGCATGACGAGCTAATGAATGGTTTCTCCTTTCTGACTCTCTCCTATGATTAAAAAAAAGTAACCATTAAAGAATTGCAGACTAAAATGTTAAGCAATCAAAATGCCTTAAGAAAACAGTCTAACAATTACACGTTAATTTAGAAATCTATAATTGGGTCATAATTGAACTGCAATGATAAATGAATGACTATGTCCAGAAATCCTTGCCAAGGACTAGTACTCACTGAAAAAATATTTTTAAAAAAATCAGTTTTTTGTTTGTGTTTTGGCTATATCAAGCCTAATGGCTATCTGAATCAGAGAAATTAGATAAATGAAAGAATTACACACGGATATAAAGACAAGAGACTATACATTTCTGCCCATAAGATCAGCTCATTTAAACTGTTCAAACAGTTTTATTGAGAAATAATTCACTATAATAAAATTCACTTTTAAAGCATACAATCTAGTGGTTTTCAGTATATTCCCAGAGTTGTGTATCTATCCCCACTATCTAATTTCAGAACATTTTCATTACCACAAAAGAAAGCTTGTAACCATTATCGGTCACTCCCATTCTGCAGCCCCTGGCAACCACTAATGTACTTTCTGTTTCTATGGACTTTCCTATTCTGGACATTCAGGTAACTGAAATCACACAGTACGTGGCATTTTGTATCATCTTTCACTTAGCATAGTTCTTCAGGTTCATCCATGTTGCACCATGTATCAGTACTTCATTCCTTTCTATTGAGCAACAATATTCTATTATATGGACACACCATCAATTTGATTATCCATTCATTAGCTGATGGACTTGTGTGTTGTTTCCACTTTTTGGCTATTATGAATAATGCTGTGAACATTCATGTACAAATATTTGTGCGGATATATTTTCATTTCTCTTGGGTATATACCTAGAAGCGAAACTGCTAGATCATCATATGACTCTACGTCTAACTTTCTGAGGAACAAACTGTTTTCTAAATTGGCTGCACTGTTTTATAATCCCACCAGTAATTTATGAAGGTTCTAATTTGTTCACATCCTTCCCAACATTTTTTGTCTTTTTTATTTCAGCCATCCTAGTGGGTGTAAAGTGGTATCTCATAGTGTTTTGATTTGCAATGCCCTGATGACTAACGATGCTGAGCATCTTTCATGTGCTTGTTGGCCCTTAGTATACTATCTTTGGAGAAATGTCTATTAAAATCCTCCGCCTACTTTTAAATTGGGTTGTCTTTTTTTGTGTGTGTGTGAGGAAGACTGGCTCTGAGCTAACATCCATTGCCAATCCTCCTCTGTTTGCAGAGGAAGATTAGCCCTGAGCTAACATCTGTGCCCATTTTCCTTCACTCTGTACATGGGATGCTGCCACAGCATGGCTTGATGAGTGGTGCGTTGGTCCACGCCTGGGATCCGAACCTGCAAACCCCGGGCCGCAGAAGTAGAGCATGCGAACTTAACCACTACGCCACCCAGCCAGCCCCCTGTTGTCTTTTTATTGTTTTGTTGAAAGAGTTCCTCATATAATCTGGATACAAGTCCCTTATTGATATATGAGCTGCAAATATTTTCTCCCATTCTGTGAGTTTTCTTTTCACTTTCTTGATGCTGTCTTTTGAGGCACAGAAGTTTTCTATTTTGATGGAAGTCCCATTTGCCTACCTTTTTCTTTTGTTATTTGTGCTTTTGGTGTCTTACCTAAGAAACCATTGCCTGATCCAAGTTCATGCAAGTTAGCAGTATGCTTTTGTCTAAAGGTTTTATAGTATAGCACTGACCTTTACACTTAGGTCAATGATCTATTTTGAGTTAACTTTTGTATATGGTGTGAGGAAGGGGTCCAACTTCATTCTTTTGCAGGTAGATACCCAGCTGTCCCAGCATCATTTGTTGAAAACATTAGTCTTTCTCCATTGAATTGTCTAGGCATCCTTGAAAATCAATTGACTAAAAATGTCAGAGTTCATTTTCTGGACTCTCAATTCTACTCCATTGATCTCTGTGCCTGTCCTTATGTCAACCACACTGTTGTGATTACTGTAGCTTTGTAGTAAGTGTTGAAACTGGGAAGTGGTAGTCCTCTACCAACTTTGTTCTTCGTTTTCAAGATTGTTTTGATTATTCTGAGTCTTGTGTATTTCCATAGGAAGTTGTAGGATCAGCCTGTCAATTTCTGCGAAAAAGACAGCTGAGATTTTGGTACAGACTGCACTGAATGTATAGATCAATTTGGGGAGTACTGCCATCTTAAGAATACAAAGTCTTCCAATCTGTGAACATGGAATGTCTTTCCATTTAAGTCTTCTTTAATTTCTTCTAACAATGTTTTGTAGTTTTCAGTGCACAAGTCTCATACTTATTTTGTTAAGTATTTCATTCTTTTAGATGCTATTGTAAATGAAATTGTCGTCTTTATTTTTGCATCGTTTATTGTTAGTGTATACAATTATACAATTGATTTTTGTATATTGATCTTGTATCCTGTATCCCTGCTGAACTTGTTTATTAGTTCTAATAATTAATTAGCATATTCCTTATATACAAGATCATGTATATGTAAGATCATGTCATCTGTGAATAGAGAGAGTTTTACTTCTTCCTTTCCAATCCAGATGCTTTTTATTTCATTTCCTGTCTAACTGCCCAGGCTAGAACCTCCAGTAAAATGTCAAACATAAATGGTGAGTGTGGACAAACCATAGTAAAAATCACTTACTGTGATCTGTGTACCCTTTGCGACAAAAACTTGGAAACCATTTAACATGTAAACTCTTATTGAGACTAAAAAAAAAAAAAAAATCACGAAACAAACAAGCAAAACCAAAACCCCCAACTGTAAATTCTTGCCATTGCTAGCCATAACATACCTTGGGAGTTGTGCTTTAACTTGTTTCTGACATAGATTATGGTACCTCTCCACTTTTAGAAATCCCTGATTCAACATTCTCTGGCAAACCAAGTCCATTCTTTTACAAACCTATGGGGAGAGAGGAAGAGAAAGAAGGTTTTTAAAAAGTAATAACCTAATTAATAAAAGACAGTTAACTCAGACTCAAAACTGATGGCTGGAAGTTCTCTGTGCTAGTACAGTTCCTCAGTTTGCCATCTGAATCTGTGAATCAGTATACATGGGTGAATCCCTCATACTTCGCAACTCTTGCAATATTGCATTATGAAATTAATATTAGGTGTGGGCAGAGAATAATTGACTTCTTTTTTTTTAAAGATTTTTATTTATTCAGTTTTTTCCCCCCAAAGCCCCAGCAGATAGTTGTATGTCATAGGTTCACATCCTTCTAGTTGCTGTACGTGGGACTCGGCCTCACGTTGGACGGAGAAGTGGTGCCTCGGGGCGCTCCCGGGATCCGAACCCGGGCCGCCAGCATCAGAGCGCGCACACTTAACCGCTAAGCCACGGAGCCGGCCCATAATTGACTTCTTTACTTTAGGTATTTAATGTTCTCAATGTATCCCCACTATTATGGTCAGAAACTGTAGTCCTCAAGATCAGTAACACAACATTTTCAAAGGTGTTTTGTTTTGTTTTGTTTTTGTTTTTTGTGTGTGTGAGGAAGATTTGCTCTGAGCTAACATTCGTTGGCAATCTTCCTCTTTTTGCTTGAGGAAGATCAGCCCTAGGCTAACATCTGTGCCCATTTTCCTCTATTTAGTATGTGGCACGCCTCCACAGCATGGCTAATGAGTGGAGTAGGTCTGCGCCCGGGATCCGAACCTGCGAACCTGGGCCACCGAAGCAGAGCGTGCAGAACTTTAACCTCTTGGCCATGGGGCTGGTCCCTCAAAGGTTTTTAATGGTATGAAATAAGGAAAATTCTCCTTTAGCCAAAAATGTATATTCAAACTTGAGTCCAACCTCGCACAAAGTTTATATGATCTATAACCAGAAAGAGAATTCTAATTTATTTCTACTAGTGATTTGGGTTAACTATAGAAAGTTACTCTATACTAGATACTGTCACATCCTCCAAAATATCTTAACACGTGTAGCAGAACCTCAACTATTTTGAATCCTTAAGGAACACAGTATTTTTATACGGTGAAAGTACAGGATCAAAAGTCAGAACACCTAGGGGCCGGCCCTGGGGCTTAGCAGTTAAGCAGGCGCACTCCGCTGCTGGCGGCCCAGGGTTTGGATGCTGGGCGCGCACAGACGCACTGCTTGTCCAGCCATGCTGAGGCCGCGTCCCACATACAGCAACTAGAAGGATGTGCAACTACAACATACAATTATCTACTGGAGAAAAAGGGGAAAAAAAATGGAGGAGGATTGGCAATAGATGTTAGCTCAGGGCCGGTCTTCCTCAGCAAAAAGAGGAGGATTGGCATGGATGTTAGCCCAGGGCTGATCTTTCTCAAAAAAAAAAAAAAAAAAAAAAGTCAGAACACCTACATTTGAGTCCAACCTTTATGCATTCTTGAGCAAGTCAGCTACCATTTGAAAGCCTGAGTCAGCCATCTGTAAAATGTGGATAGTATCTAACTCATAGGAATATCATTAGGTTTAAATGAAACAATACACGCTAAATCACTTGGTAAAAATTATGTTAAATAAATTTGGTTTAAATTAGTACTAATTTGAAAACTTTGCTCTATATACTTAGTTGTTATATTTCTGAGATACCCCAGCATCTTTCTTTTTTTTTGGTGAGGAAGATTAGCCCCGAGCTATCTGTTGCCAATCCTCCTCTTTTTGCTGAGGAAGATTGGCCCTGGGCTAACATCCGTGCCCATCCTCCTCTACTTTATATGGGACGCCTGCCACAGCATGGCTTAATGAGTGGTGAGTAGGTCCACGCCCGGGATCCAAACATATGAACCCTGGGCCACCGAAGTGGAGCACACGAACTTAACCACTAGGCCACCAGGCCGGCCCCGCACCTTTCTTATCTTAACGAAACCTAGTACACAAAATCTGTTTGTTCTTTGATCCCTGAGATTGTGCAGTGACTGAGAATCATCAACCTGAACCAGTTAATTCTCATCGTACAGGTGTGGATGTTGAAAGGGCAAAGAACTGAGATAAATCTGTATCAAGGCCAAGTCAATCAGGTAGGGGCTGTCTTGTGCCTCTATCTCTCCTGGCAAGCCCCCATGCACAAATGCTTGACAAATACCTGTTGAAATGAAATGCTGATGAAACTTTTTACATAAGTTTGCTTTCTCCTGAGACTAGAGGGACAAAAATTCTCGCAAACTAGGTTGAAGCTTATGAAGGCTTTAATACTCTAATATTAAACGCTAGATACTTCCTAAATCACAGCATGCCAAATGAAAGTCTTTTCAATTTCAAAAGAAATTAAAACAATATATTTTAAATAACTAATACTAATTCCCAATAAGTGGTATTTTAAAATATGGTGGAATCTATTTCTAACTAAACTAAATCAGTTATCAACATCTGTTCAGTGTCTACTGAAAAAATAACAATAATAAAACCAATACATATTAACATAAATAACTTTTTAAGAAAAAGTAACTCTTCTCTAAAACAAAATATTTAGTGAGTTACATTTTTACAAATCTCTTTGATGTGTTGCTTCAGAGAACAGAAGCAAATCCTCTTTTCTGCTTCTGCATTCAATCTACCGAGGTATTCTCACCTTAGAAAATTCTAGAAAACACGATACACAAGCACACATTTCATTAGCTATCAGTATGATGACATCATCACATCAAATAGCCACTGGAAAGCTCTACTGTATTCTTGTGAAAGAATGAAAATGAAAAATGCAAATAACATTTTAATACTGTAATGAAAACATTTCAGATCTTACAGACTCCCTGAAAGGGTCTTGGGAATCCTTTTGGGATCCCTGGACCACACTTTCAGAAGCAGTACCCCAATCCTGAATAATCACATTGCCACAAACCCCAGTACTGAATTTTATGTGAGGAAAAAAGAAACTCATTGGAGGAAGAAAAAAAGTGTGTCTATGTATACGTGTGATGAGGGAGAAAAGAGCAGGCTAAATTTTCATCTTTCGTAGTAGAAAGTCAACAGATAATAACCAATAAAAGAAAAACAGCCCAAAGACTTGAAAGTGGTACCTTTGGGGAATAAAATTCGGGGTTGTAAAAACTATTTTTTGTTGTTAAAACTATTTGATGTGAGGTACAATCTTATAGAAAAATGCTTCTTGTCTTTGTGGACTCTATAATCTCTCTGATAATTTCTGAGATGAAACAATGGAAATAATTTTTTAGCAGCAATAAACTTACAAAGAAAAAAACTAAGGTTAATTATTTCTGTAATAATTTCCAAGGTACTATCTAAATTCTTTTATTATACAAGAATTTTGCCGCACTGAATCTAGCTAACTACTAGGATTTAGATATCTTTTAATAATCTAGAAACTCAACCAAATATATGAGTACTGACCGGGTGATGAGAAGATGAATAACTATTAAGGTCAACCCAGGAAGACTTCACACGATACAAGATTTGAATTCGGCTTTCAGGAAGGGCAGGGACTGCTAGGTTAGAGGTGGTGGCATATGAAAAGGCAGCAAGTGCGGAATGAATAAGCCATTAGCAAGCAAACTACTTCTGAAGTTAGAGCACATGTGTAGGCAAAGCTGAGAGTAATAAAACCTCCCACGTTTTGAGCAGGGAAATCAGATAGGACTGAGAAATAACTTTACAAAGACCACCCATTTTTTGAAAGATCTCGTACTGGGGAAGTTAACTGATCATTTTTCTGTAAGGTACTGTTTTAAGACTAAAGATACGGTTCTGGAAATTTCACATGGGGATAGGCGAAATCATTGTAGATGAACCCCCAAATGAAGAAGTGTGAGATAAGAAAATAAAGCTTATAAACGGAGCCTCAACTGACATTTATAATTAAAAGCTGGTAAAAAGACCAGAAAATAGTCTTTAATGTGGTACTCTTCCTTTCATGGACTGTCAATAAGCACCGACTGACCAACAGCACAAAAACAAAGCCACAACAGATCATATATCTTCTGTTTAGGATTCAGAAAGAAGCAAGGTGACCTCTAGAAAACAGAAATATTCTAATTTTCCCAAAAGTAAGCAGTTTAATGACAACTGCTGACAATGTATGCTAACCTGCAATGCAAAATTACCTCATTTAAAGTCTAGTTCTGTATTTATGGGTATTTTAATAATTTCCCAAGGCTAGTGGGAAAATGTTTTTATTTCCCTGATCATGACAACTAAACAAAAATCCTAACAATTTGGCAATTTACCCAAGACAGTAAAATAAAATTCTGGAGTCCAATAAACAAAGATGATGACTATGTCAAAAATTATCAATGCATTTAGAGATTAGCAAAAATATACACTATGAAAACAGAAGGGAACTAATGGAATAAACCAGTCTACAATGAAGACATTTAGCTTGGGCCTCTCTGTTACTTGCTCTTCTAGTATGAGAATATAGATGTGGTTTTTCTTTGTTAATTACTTAAGGATTTAAAATGCCATGTTTATCCTTTTCATCATTTCTAACTTAAGTGGTCAGTAATAAAAAATTTTCTTCACTTGTGTTTCTTCAGAAATAGTTTTCGATTTCTTGTGCCACCATGGCCCTTAACAATGCCCAAAAGCACTGTTAACGATGCCCAATGGCCATACATATGCCACACATTTGGAAAACCCAGTTTTCCTTTTAAACCTAACCTTTAATGTCAAATCTTAGTTGATTCTAAGATGCACATTTTTTTCATATTTTAACATTTGACGTTGGAATGGTCTTAGAATATATGATGTCTTACAATTATAATTGGCAGCATTTCTTTCTCAGATGTCTTAGATGCCTTGAAATATAGTATGCTGGACTTCTTTGGTTTTGTTTAAGATGCTGTAGAGACTTTAAGATGTGTTATCAATTCAATCAAAGCTCTTCTGGAAAAAAAAGCACTGCCACAATAATATACACACAAGCTGATCACGATGCATTCTGATATCAAAACGTTAAAATATGCAACTAT